ATTAGATGTGTGCTTCAACAACCTTAATTTCTAGTTGGATTTTATTGGCTCTTTAGGATAAAGAAGGATTGAATAATATTTTCTTATTCTATTTTGCAAAGAATGAATTTAAAAGCTTCGATTTTAAGGTTGAACTTATTCTTTCATTGCTTTAATCTTATGTTGAGACAAGTATTTAATAAAGTTTCAATTTATGCGCTGTGTTGATATTTTATAACAATGCAAACATGCTCATAATGTAATATATAAGGTCTGATGTTATTTTCATTTGGAGGTATTTATGTCATTTCAGGTATCTATAATTGCGTCCATTATTTTTATTTTGCTGATCGTTTGCATTTGTATCTCAGCATATACTTTTCTAACTCCAATTATAATTTTGTGGTGGAAGATACTAATTGTTGCTTCCATTTTTGCGCAGTTGAAGCTTATTGTTCCATCGGCACATGAGAAGACGACAAAAGTTGGTCAAATTTAGTTCGCAAAAATTTCAGTGAAGAGATGACGGGATGGCTATATTTTTGGGTACTTTATGCATTATTATTGCCCTCTGGCTTCAGGAAGATAGACAGATATAGAGGTAGGTGTACAGGGTCTTGTCCTCTTTTCTGGTTTTCCGGCTCAAGGATTTTTTCTTTTGGTAGATAGTCATCCATGTATCATTGCCCCTATGTTGGGGTAGTTGTCATCGTTATGGCCAAAGGCTGTGAGAATTTTGCGAATGTTAGTCTTTGTTGTGTATAATATTTGTCCAAATAGTCGTCTTCCTGCCTGCGCAATTTTTGTAAATTTTTTGCCGGCTTGCTGTTGATAGAAGCACAACAAAATGCAACACCATGCGTCCACTGTTATGTTTGGTTGGCATCGTAGCATCTTGCATTGTTCTGTAAGTCTTAGGCCGCAAAAGAAAAATCTCATCGTGAATAATTTTTAGTATGTTCTGCCTTACAATTCTGCTTAGTTGAGAAAATATATGATAGAATGGAAAGACCGATGAACTTTAATAATGCTATTTATTACTAGTGGTT